AACTTCCACCACCTTTATAAAAGTCCCCAAAAGTTCATCCACTGCAAGCTCATCAATCACGCCCTCACCCTGTCTCTCTACTGGTCAAAAGTTGACGTTATCCTCATGCGCCGACACGACAAATTATTATTGCAACACCACCACCTCCATGTGTGTTCCAAAACAAGCCGATAACGCCAGTTGCACGGATAATCTTATGTGTAATGTAAATTCCGCATGTCAAAACCTCGTATGTGTTCCGCTTGCCTCTAATGGTAGTGGCGGTGTTAATGTCGGCAAAGTCGGAATAATTGCCGGTGTTATAGCTGGTATATTCGTGTTGGCGGGTATCGCGTTCTGGGCTTATGGATTTTTAGCTAAAAGGAAAGAGAATAGGCGAAGAATGGAAGAACCCTATGAATCGAAAACGAATTCGAGGTTTGAGCCATCTACAGATTATCCGTTTATCTCGAGACCAAATTCTTTTTCGAATTCCAACGCGCCACCACCGGCGGTTACCAGACCCGACATGCGAGCTTTTGGCGGTGCACCGAATAATAATGCCTACGGTAGACCACCACCAACTGTTCAGTACAATCAGCAACTTAATAATTACACTGAATTTGAAAACACAAACGTGGATCGGTCATCCAAGTATAATTATCTTTCAACCGCGTTTACGAAGATGCGACTTTCTATGGGTTATGGGATAAATAACTCACAACCTGAAAGCGCAAATGGTCCATTACCATTTACTGCAAACAATGAAAGTCGAATGGGCGCAAATCCTCAAATGCAGGGAAATAACGACTTCAATGTTGCTACCCATGATGTGAAATACCCCCTCGGTAATGTAGAAGAGGAAGATTTGGAAGAAAATATTACTTTAAGAGATTCCAGTGTTCTGCCTGCTGACGATCAAGACGTATTTTCGTTGGTATCTGAATCTCCATATTTGGGCCTAGAAAGAAACAATTCATCCGCCTCCCAAGAGGGTGATAGAAGACGTTATAAAATGGGTTCAATGTATTCCCACTACACC